CTGGTTTATTTCCTAAGAGATAATTTTTTCTAGGCATTTTTTAATATACTTGTCATCATTCTGTAAGTACTTTTTTGTAATTACTGGATGTTTAACATGATATTAAAAGTATTTTTTGAGTTATTACTTAGTCTTACTGATCATGTTTCATAATTGCATAATATGCCATCCTGTGAAAGTGTGCTCTGTTTATATTAGTAAATATGAAGGAGGTTTCTGGTTTTTCACAACTATGGACATTCCCAGTGCTATATGTCAAATTAAAAGACAGTTTGCCTAAAGTTACCTCCAAGGCTTCTCTTTCCTCTGACTGCATAACCTTCTCACTCTTCTCCTAATCCATGCCTACTGCTTCCTTCAAGTCACTGTGTCTTCACTGAGGGCTGATTGTTCATGAAGCTATCAATTTTGTTTCTTTTATGACGACTGTATTCTATACCCTTTAGCTTTCATCTATAAAGCTGCTGTCATGTTATCTGGCATTTGTCCACATGTGGCTTTGCTTGTTTGTTATTTTTTCAGGTCCTCCCCACCAAAGCATTCACTATGCTGTTTAGCACATATTGGGGTCTAGTAATTTGTGGAATGAGAAAGGAGGGGAAGGAATGAGACAGAAAAGAGGGAGTGAACTAGCACTGCTTTATAATTTTCTACTAAACTAAGTTACAGTTTTCTTATTTACTGAATGATGAACACCAAGTTTGTTGCAAATTATGTTATCTGTTCTTAATATGCTTCTAGCCTATCATGGTCTCTTTATTTATTGTACCATAGTGAACTTTCCTGGTTTGATGTCTCACCAATATCTATCTTTTAGGTACATATCCTAATGAGGCAACATACTATGAAAGTTTACAAATATAATATCTTTGTGATGAAGCATGTAGTCAGCATTACAACAGGCTCTTTATCCAAGAGCAAGGATAAGGCATTTAGCCAACACACATTTCTTGCTTCTGGCACTCTGAGATGATCCATTAATTCTTGAAATAAGAGTTTCCTTAGGGTGTTTTCTCCTTTTGTTTGAGGCTTTCTGCCTACTAAAAAGTCATTTTTAAAAAGGCCAGCAGACAGTTGAAAACATACCTCTGAAACCCTGTGAAATTGGTTTGATATTTAAGGAATAAACACTAGATCTAAGGAGCAGAAACATAGGAAGAGAGAAAGGACTGTTCCTTCAGACTGAAGTATAATTCTATCAACAGTCTTGCTGTAGGTCCTATGTTTTGAGTTTTCTTTTTCCTTTAACTAAAATATTCAATCTTAGAGTTGGAAAGGAAAAGGGGAGCAGAGATTGAGGAGAAGGTTAGTCCTTATTCTTCCTCTTTTGATGACATGAATTAATCTTCACCTAATGAGCAAGCTTCTGGCTTCTGTGGCTTCTTATCTAAGCTCCATGGGCAGGACACCCAAAGACTGGGTAGCCTTGGGCCAAGTTTACTCCAAGAGGTGGATAAACCCATACAATTCAACCCAAACCACATCTAAACATTTACCTAAAAATTATTGTAATGCATGATAATTGGGCTTTATCCTGAGCAGTTTATATGATTAGTTTATACAATTAGTAGTAGTTTTATACAGGCTAATCAAATTTCACATTTTTTCTTCCTTGTGTTAGCTATCCAATATCCCTAATCAGCATTAATATTGACGACATTGCCTAACTCTATGTACATTTTAGTTCTCATTTTATTCACATTCTCTCTCTGAATGTCTCTCACTTCAGATGATGAATGATACGTATGTAAATACTGTAAATTATGTCTGGTATTAACATCTCAACAACTACTTTTTTTTAAAATAAAGGAGGATAACATAGGGTTGAAGGAGGACTTGGAAGAGTGAGGGGGTTGGTGACAAGGTAACCTAGCTTTCCTGTTCAGCCCCTCTTGCAGCTAAGGACGGTCAAGTGATTTTGGAAACCAAACACATCCACTTTGAATCCCATCTCTGCTACTAACTAGATGGGCTGATTGTGCTTACCGCTCTGATCCCCAGTTAGAGATAGTTTAGAAAAGGTGCTGGTTCATGTCATGGGCTTAGTAAGCTTTAGCTCTTTTGGGACACCCTCATTTTCATCATGCTTATTCAATTTAACAACATTTATTGAGCACTCACCACGTCCAAGGGGTTTATGCTACATACTAGAGATATAAAATTATATACAATATGGTGCTTACCCTCAAGCTGCTCCTTGTATGTTGGGAAAGCTTTGGTTTATAACTGACTTAAAATAGATAAACCAACAAGGACCTACTGTGTAGCACAGGAAACTATAGTCGATATTTTGTAATAACCTATAAAGGAAAAGAATCTGAAAGAATATATATATATATATATATATATATATATATATATATATATATAAAACTGAGTCACTGTGTTGTACACCTGAAACTTACATGATATTGTAAATCAACTATACTTCAATAAAAATTTTAAAAAATATTAAAAAAACACAATGGTAAGAAACTATGTCTTCTGTTTGGAAAATGCCAATGTGAGGAGGACTTACCACTTTCACATGCAATGCACTGCAAATGGCAAAAATCCACAGTGACTATATCAAGGATGCTCTACTTGAATGGAGCTCTGTATAGTTACTTGTTTTTCTATCTTAACTATTACTACCACTAGACATGTTTGACTGTGAAGTTTGGGCTCAATTATGAATCAACCTATGACCCTACCTTTAAGGTCTTTCTTTAGTGTGACCCTCTTTTCCTAGTTTGAACTGATATTAAAAAGAAATGAAATATTTTCTTTTCTATTATTTCAGCTGGGGGAATTAGAAATCGGATGAATTTTCTACAATCTTATCTTTCTTATCAAGCAGACTAAAAGACAACAGGACAGTTTAAAATCCTCTCAACAATTAATGATACTCTTCTTCATGATTTCATCCCTTACTCTCTTTACCATTGTAGATCTGGTTAAATATCAGGATTTTTCATGTGGTAGATTCCCACAGCATCAGGAATCCTGACCAGTGCAAAGGGGACATCCATAGTTCTCTAACACTGTCTTATTTTGGTTCTTTTAAATAAAAAGATACCTATATACCACACTTTGAACTAGCATGCAACTTTTCATATCAAAATTTGCCAATATGATTATCCATTTATTGATGCTGAAGATCTTCTTGGGGCCATTTCAGGAACAGATAATTCTACATCCTATATCCTGGAGGAGCCTGAACTGAACACACAGAAAGAGCCAATAAATGTGAGATGTCAGACATAGAACTTTTGTTTTCCCAAAAATTCCTCTTCAAATAACTAGTCTTTATCCATATCAAATGTGAGGTTGACTTAGGAGGGGATATGTAATTATTTTCTGGATTGAAGTCAAAGATAAGATTAAATTAATCCATTTCTCTGGTGATTGCCCTGGAAGACGTCTCCATGCTTCCTCTTGCGGATCTCTGGCTCCTGTGTGATGCACATGTTATTAAGAACAGTTGGCCAGAGGATATACAGTGAGCAAAGGAACCAGGGAAAGCCTACTCACTTGGCACTTTGACCCAGTACCTGTATACAAAGTCCCAACCTCTAATCTTAAGCAAGGAAGTGTCCCCAAATTGTAAAACTTTAAGAAAAATGGACTCATATTTAAACAGCATTTCTAATAAGACTTTAGTTTTGTATCATTGTTATTATGTTATATGGAAACTCTTGGCCTTTAATGTGTAGTTTTGGTTGTATTCTGCAGTTGAAATCAAAATCACAACAACAAAAATAAAGGAAATAAAGGAAGAAAGTCCCTCTTATTCTCCTGGAGTACAAAGTGTAAAGACAAACTGAATATAAGGAAGACACTACCTCAGGAGTCCTTGCACATTGCTGAGAGCCAAGTAGTTGGTCCATCCTTCTCTGTGTTTGGCATGCAAGTTTTATCCAAGGACTACCAAAAAAGAAGCAAAAGTTTCTCCTAAAAATAAAAGAGAAGCCCCTCCCAAACACTGCCCAATAATTTGGTGACATCAGTGTGGTTCTGGACTCTTTAAGAAGTTCATGCCTTTCTTATTAGACAGGGTTCTCCAGAGAAACAGAACTAATAAGATGTTTGGATATGTAGAAAGGTATTTATTTATTTTATGAAACTGACTCGTGTGATTATGGAGGCTGGTGAGTCCAAAATCTACAAGATGGACTGGCTTATGGGAAGAACTTATGCTGTAGTTTGAGTCTGAAGGCCATCAGACTGAAGATCCAAGGAGGAGTTGATGCTGCAGCTGAAATCTAAAGGCTGTCTCCTGGCAGAATTACTTCTTGCTCAGAAGAGGTCAGTCTTGGGTTCTCTTGAGGCCTTCAACTGATTGGATGAGGCTCATCTACGATATGGAGAACAACTGCTTTACTCAAAGTCCACCAATTTAAATATTAATTTCATTCAAAAACACCCTTGCAGAAACATCCAAAATAATGTTTGACCACATATCTAGGCCCTGTGACCCAGCCAAGATGACACATAAAACTGACCATCACGCCATTTGACCCAGGTTTTCAACTTCTGTGACTGTATCCTAAGAATATAGTGTAATCACAGATGTGGTTAAGGAATTACGTATAAGAAATATTATTTATAATAAATGAAGCTTGAGATAAATGTCCAATGATATGTGTGTGTCTAAATAATATAATGGAGATCGAATGAATGAAATATTATGCAAGTATTAAATAGCGTGTTTTAAAAGATCATTTAGCATCATAGCAAATTGCTCATAATATAATACTGAATGAAAAACTAACACAGTTTTACAATTCTTTTCTCTCTTTCCCTTCCTTCTTCTCATTCCCTTTTTCTATGTATCCTTCTCTGTTTCTGTCTCAGAAATATATCAAAATATTTACAGTGTTTTCATAATTTTCAGTGTTTATTGTAAGAAGAAACATTTTTAATATGAGCATGCATCAAGCTTATAATCAGGAAGACATTACGAGACTTTGTTAAGTTTTTGTATCTGTATTTATCTACTTGTCTATTTATCCTGACAGGAAACACAAAATCTCTTTAGCAAAAAACAGTTCATTTACTCACAGGTCAATTCCTCATTGTGGGACACTAAGGAATAAACGGACTGCAAATGCAAAGGTTGCACCACAAGAGAGGAGCCCCAATATTATGAGCTGCAAAGCTCCTATAGGATGACTAGCAAATCTGTCCCTCATTTCCTGGGAACAGAGAGAAAGAAGGAAAAAGAGAAAGAGAGAGAGAGACATTTGCTGCTCTGGAATGTAAACAAAATCTCCGTGGGGAGAGATGAGGAAGCTCTCCACATTTTTATCACCGTTATTATGTAAGCCAAAAGCTCTGAAAAAGGTAAAATTTTAAATCTCTGCAGAGAAATTTACTATCTCTAATTTATAAGGCATGTTTATTATTTAATCATCATTTAACCCAGGTTGTCAATAATGTTGCCAAGAAAGCCCTGACAGTGCAGAAACAAAATATTCATGAAGCGTTTTCTCCCAACAGATTTCCACTTATGACCATTGGGGAGTGACTGAGGCTAGTCTTGCTCCCCTACTGTAAGCAACCAGAAAATTGGACAAAATACATGATACTACATGTTCAGACACTGCGCAATGGAAAATACAGGACTGTGATCCATAAAGGAAGGAAAACTGATGAGGTAAGTTCCACAATGACTTCAGTTTTTTTCATAGAAGAATTTTCTAGAACAGCATACGGGAAGGGGAACTCAAGCAGAGCATAATACTCTCAACTGAGGGACAAGACATAAATCCAAATTCAGGGGGACTATGACAGCACATATTTGAGGGGCTGAGCACCAGAGATTACATAGCTTTAAAGAAAGAAAGCTCCAAAAACCTGCATAAGAATCCTCTTGAACTTTTGCCTGAATATTAAGCTGAGCTTGCATAGAATAAAGCTCCATGAGGCCAGGAGAAGAACTACTGCTAAAGAAAAAAATCACAACTTTCAAAGCACTTAGGGAATTCAATTAATGATGGTTAAGATAGATGGCTTTATTGATGAAATATCATAACCAGCTCTAACTAAAAAAAAAAAAAAAATCAATCCCTGGAGAGAGTAATTCTGGAGTGATGGTGTAAGGATCTCTTAAAATATGCTCCTCCACAAAAGCAATCAGCAACATTTTTCAAAATGAACTTTTCAAAGCTCTGGAAATGAATCAAAATTTGCAATAATCTGAGGAACATTTGTTCAAGAAAAACATATGAATCTTGGTAAGAAAAGTGAGTTTTGTGGTGTTTCAACTTACCCTCTTCACATTCCCTTCTCCTCGTTTCTGCAGTGGCCTTAAAACCAAAGGTTCACAATCAGTAACCACAGAAACCAGTAGCTTAGCAGTCATGGGAGGGGGTAGAACAGGTTGAATCTCCCAAAAAACCCCGTCACCATAGGCTTGTTATTATTTAAACTGTCTGGGTGTTCTCTGGAAATATCCTTCTTTTCAAATAAATGTCATTCATTTATTCATTACAAATTATACAAGCAGAGAATTTTATTTCAATGTAGTATTATACATTTTATTGGAAAATACCTGGTTATTGAAGATATATGTATATATTACTATAACACTTTAGTATGTTAACTCATTTAATACAGCAACCCTATTGAGATATATACTATTATTATGCACATTTTACAGTTAGAAAAACAGAGTTCCAGATATAGGTGAAGTTTCTTTTGACCACATGCTCCAATCATATCTCTTTTACCCATATCTCAGAAGCCACCACTAGCATGGGTTTGGTGTATATTCATCCGATCAATTTTTACTTTTTATGTTCATATGTCTATCCATAAACAATATAAAATAGTATGTTGTGTGTTTTAAACGTATATAAATATTATCAGACTGTCTCAAGTTAATGAGTTTAGGACTTTTCTCTGTATGGGAAGATGTAAGATTCTGGGCTTAGGAAATCATGAAATCATTCCTTTGATATGCACCCTAAGCATCCTGCATTTCTCTGTCCTGAATCCCCTCAGGGTGCACCGCTGGGGGTGGCTGCAGAGACTGATGGCTTAATGGTCGCAACATCCTTTGTCTACTGATATGGCAGGTGACAACATTAGTTTACACAAGTCTGAGGTGGGGCCTGAGATTCTGCATTTCTCACAAGCTCCAGGGTGGATAATGGTGATGGCCCTGTTCTACAGATCATACTTTGAGCAGTAAGGCTCTAGGCAACATGTGAGCAGGCATTCTGTTTATCAGGGAAGGCTCCCTGGGAGAGGAGTTTAGACCAGGCTTTGAAGGAAGAAGGGAGATAGGTTTTTTTACCAGGGCAGTCAGTATACCAGGATAAAGAATAAGGCTGTTGAAAGGTGGAAATAGGTAAAACAGATGCAAACAAATGATCAACCAGTTGGCTCAGCCCACCAGAGAGATGGAAATACGGAAAAATAAATAGTGAATCAAGGAACTTCAGTGGCCCTCTTATGACATCTGGATGTGTCACACTCAGCCAGCGATTCCAAGGCTGTGTTCTCTGGAGCACTGCAGCTCTGAGAGTTGTTCATAGATATCTGCCTGGCTGTGCAATCAAATTAGGAGAGGAAATTCTGAGGTTATATATGTATTTCTTTAACTTAATTTTTAAAATGCTAATCTTTCTCTTCTCAACGCAGAGTACACGTTCCCTCCTCTTTTAAAAAATGGTTTTGGGGCTTCCCTGGTGGCGCAGTGGTTGAGAGTCCGCCTGCTGATGCAGGGGACGCGGGTTCGTGCCCCGGTCCGGGAAGATCCCATGTGCCGGAGCAGCTGGGCCCATGAGCCATGGCTGCTGAGCCTGCGCGTCCGGAGCCTGTGCTCCGAAACGGGAGAGGACACAAATGTGTGTGCCCGACTACCAAAAAAAAAAAAAAAAAAAAAAATGGTTTTATGCCACTAGGTATATATTTTCTAAAAGGTGGCAAATGACATGTCTTTTTTTTCTCCCTTTCAAATGGTGATTTCCAATCCTGATTGCACATGGGGTGCTGCTTAGAGAATTATTGATGGCCAAATCTCATCTTTAGACATTTTGATTTATTAGCCTGAGGTGGGGCCAGCCACTGCTCTCTGATCATTATCTGACCTGACTATCTCCACTGGGGCACAGAACAGGGTCTACACTGAGCTTCCATAGATCACCTGGTAACAAGAGGCAGTTTCATAAATTCTTTATAAAGCACTACCTATTTCATTAAAACATGTTAAGAATTATATCGCAATGGTCAATAGCTGTTTCTGGGAGCCAAAAATAGGCCCACTACTCAGAATGGATATTAACTCAAGAAACTCACCCTTGCAATTTCTCAAGATGGACATTTATGGTTTATGAAAAATGCCCAGGAAATAAATGGATCTAAATTTTCGGAGGAGTAGAGGGTTCCCCTCTAAAAAAAAATTGGATCAGTTGCTTTGAATCCATTTGGAAAGGAATTTATCCTTAATAGTTATGAGCAGTTTGGCAAGAATCAGAGAAGGCCAAAAATCAGAATAGATCACAAATAGTTTTGGTGGCAGAGAGTCTTCATTAGGGATTTATTTTATTTGTGCATTTTATTTTAAGAATTTATTTTCCTACATTTTATTTTAGTGAAGTACGATTTACCTATAATAAAATAAAGCCATTTTAAGAGTACAGTTCAAGCAGTGTGACAAATGTACACAAGTGTGTGATCATTGTCCCAGTCATGATAAAGGAAAGTTCCATTACTCCGAAAAAGCTCACCCTTGTGAACATTGCAATTAATCCTCCCCTGCCCTCCGCTACGTAACTCCACTGGTCTGATTTCATATACATGAAAAGTAAATTTTTTCTTTTTTTTCGGTATGCGGCCCTCTCACTGTTGTGGCCTCTCCCGTTGTGGAGCACAGGCTCCGGACACGCAGGCTCAGCGGCCATGGCTCACGGGCCCAGCCGCTCCACGGCATGTGGGATCTTCCCAGACCGGGGCACGAACCTGTGTCCCCTGCATTGACAGGCAGACTCTCAACCACTGCGCCACCAGGGAAGCCCTATGTATGCTTTTATTCTTTTATTTTTAATTTTTTTCCAGTTTCACTGAGATATAATTGACATACAGGACTGTGTAAGTTTAAGGTGTACTGCATAATGACTTGACTACATATACCATGAATGTATAAGTTTAGTTAACACCCATCATCTTATACAAATACAAAAAAAAGAAAAAACTTTTTTTTTCTTTGTGATGAGAACTCTTGGGATCTACTCTCTTAACAACATTCCTCTATATCATACAGCAGTTTTATTTATAGTCATCATGTTGTACTTCACATCTCTAGTATTTATCTTGTAACTAGAAGTTTGTACCTTTTGACATTTTCATATATGTACCTTTTCATATCTGACTTCTTCAGCCAGCATAATGTTGAGATTCATCCATATTATTGCCTGAATCAGTAGTTCATTTTTTAAAAAAATTATTATTGAGTAGTATTATGGATGTACAAGTTATTTTAATCCATTCACTTGTTGATGGACATTTGGGTTAATTCCAGTTTGGAGCTGTTATGAATAAAACCGTATGAAGATTTATTTACAAGTTTTTGTGTGAATCTACGGCCTTATTTCCTCAAGCAAATAATTAGAAGTGGAATTGTTGGGACACAGGGTAAGTGGATCACACAGTAAGCTTATAAGAAATTGTCAAATTATTTTCCAAAGTGTTTGTAACATTTACTTCCCATCAGTAATGTATGAGAGTTCCAGTTGCTAACATCCTTGATAACACTTATATTGTCAGGCTCTTTAATTTTAGCCATTCTGTTGATTTGTAGTAGTATCTCAATGTGATGTTAATTTCCATTTCTCTGATGACTAAAGATTTTAAACAAATGTTAGCCCCTACCTCAAACCATATATAAAAGTTAACTAGAAATGAATAAACATAAAAGGAAAACTTTTACAAGAAAACATAGGAGAAAAGCTTTGTGACTGTGGAGGTAGGCAAATATTTCTTAGACAACTAATGAAAAGCACTTGAACATAAAAGAGAAAAATTGATAATTTGGATAACATCAAAATTTAAATCTTCCACTTTTCAAAAGATAGCATTAATAAAATTAATAGGCAAGCCACAAACTGGGAAACAAGGTTTTTAATAAACACATTTAATAAAGGACTTGTATCTGGAATATATATACAACTCAAAAATGAGAAAATCAATCCACTTTAAAAATAGGAACAACAAATGTGAATAGACATTTTCAATTTATTTTTGTTATAAATAATTTTATACAAGTGCATAAATGTGATCAAATACATTTTTAAAGTACAGTCTTTATATTTTCCATTTTGGCTTAGTTTCTACTTTCCTTATTCCACTCACATCCATACCCAGCCCTAATACCCTGCACACCCATCTTAACAACCCAGAAGTGTTTCTCTACTAATGTAATCATACAAAGACACACACACGCACACACAAGGCACAGATATGGTTTTTGTCTTTTTTTTTTTATCAAAATGGGAGTCACATTATTTTTCTATTTCAGCATCTTGTTTTTTCTACAAGCCTTAATTATTGACATTGATCCAAGTCAACCGTCATAACTCAATTTTTTCTGTTTTCATAGCTGTACACTATTCTGTGTTGTGTATTAACCATAAATCATTCAACTGTTCCCTTTGTTTCTATTTTCCTCACTGAACAATGGGGTGATAAACATCCTTGCACATATCCTTTCTTTTTGGTATTTTTGCCTTTAGGAGTGGAATTCCTGCCAGGTTGCTTTCCATAAAAAGGCTGTGTTCTTTTCCTACAGCCCAACCAGCTGTATGGATGTGGGGAGAGGTAATATGGCCTTGCTGTCAGGTAAGAAAATCTGGTACCAGACTGCCTGGGTTCCATCCCTAGCTCTGCTGCTTGTGAAAGCTGTACCTCAGATTTCACATCTGTAAAATGGGAAAAATAGCACTTACCTCATTAAGAGTGTTGTGAAGATGAAATGAATTACTACCTGCAGAGCAATTACTGCCTGGCACATAGTAAGTGTGGTACAATTGTTAGCTATGCCCGTTGCTCATTTCACAAATGTTGAATAAGCATCCTACTATTTTTTCAGCATCTATTTTAGACTCCAAGGCTATGGCAGTGAATAAAACTGACAAAAATATCACTCTCCCTTGGAGCTTTCATTCTAGTGGAAAAATCTGCTACAGTGTTTTAAAACATTTTTGCTGTTCTGATAGACATAAAGTAATAGCTCATTATTCCTTTTGATTTGCATTTTCCTGACTAGGAGTGCATTTGATCATCTTTTCATTTACAAAATTGACACTTCTACTGGCATTTATATTTATAAATTTTTATATATTTTTGCCTACTCTTTAAATTTTTAATCATTTCTGTTTAGCATGCATATCAAAACCTTTCTGGGTTATAAATTCTCTTTACTCAAGTCTACAGTGTGTCTGTTGACTTTCTGTATGACATCTTTTCCCATACAATTTTTATTAATTTTTATATAGCTAACAATTTCTACCATTATTTTATAGCTTTTAGAGTAAAAGACTTAGCTAGGTTACATTGTACCAGTAGTTTCCAAAATATTTCTTACAAAGATTTAATTGTTTATTTTTTCACATTTCAATCTTTAATCAATCTGTAATTAATTTTTGAATATCACCAGTGTTATAATGGGGTTCCATGTGTTTCTTCTAGATGAAGAGCAAAATGTGTAGATTCTTTTAAAAAATTATCCCACCCTTTTTCTACTGAACTTAAATGCGTATTTAACACCATATATATACTGTATGTTCTGCTTCTGAGTTATTTATTCTATTTACAAATCTGTTCTTATACCAATACCATATTGATCTGATCACACTTACTTTTGGCGTGTGTTGGTATCTACAAGCAAGACTTCTCTCATTATTCTTTCTCAGTTACCTTGGATCCTCTTGGACATTTTTTTCATCATATTAATTTTACGGTGATTTTATCTAATTTTAAAAAGCAAGAATTTTAAATGGATTGTATTAAATTGATAAGTTAATATTATCTTTCCCTTCAAGAACATGGTATGCCTTTCCTTTTTATTCATATCTTATTGCTATGCTTTTAATAACAACTTTTTTAAATTAAATTAAATTTATTTTTTTAACAGCTTTATTGGAGTATAATTACTTTACAATGGTGTATTTGTTTCTGCTTTATAACAAAGGGAATCAGCTATACATATACATATATCCCCATATCTCTTCCCCCTTGCATCTCCCTCCCTCCCACCCTCCCTATCCCACTCCTCTAGGTGGTCAGAAAGCACCTGATCTCCCTGTGCTATGCTGCTGCTTCCCACTAGCTATCAGTTTTACATTTGGTAATGTATATATGTCCATGCCACTATCTCACTTTGTCCCAGCTTACCCCTCCCCCTCCCCATGTCCTCAAGTCCATTCTCTAACATCTTATAGTTCTTTCCATACAGGTCCTGTGCCTTTCTGGCTGAATTTAGTTAAACATTTTATAGATTTTGCTACCATTTTAAGTAAACTAAATTTTCCCATTTCCATACATGGGTGCTACTTGTAGATGAAAGAAAATTTCTTGATAACTTTATTTTATCTTGCATGTGGTTACTTTTCCAAACTTATTCTGGTAAGTTTCATCAAAGTATCTTGGGTTTTGATTGGTAAAACAAGATAAAACTTTCTTCTCACTCTATGCTTATATCAGTTATTTCATGTTGTTTTCTTATGGAATGTGTTAAAACTTCCAAGGAAATGTAAAATTAATGATGATAGCAACCATTCATGTCCATTTCCTCTTTTTAATTGAAACCATTTTACTTTGCTATCATTATAATGTGTTTTTATTTAGGTATATATTTATTTTATTTAAAGTATTTCTTTTTATTCCTATCTTATAAAAATTTTCAATAACTATGGCTTGTGTATTTCAAATTCCTTTTTAGAATCAATGGGTGTTATTTTTCTACCAAAATATATTGGTAAGTGGTTTACTCTGACAAATTTCTTTATATTGAATCCCTCTTGCATTCCGGGAATAAATCCTGCATAATCATATTGTGGGATTCTTTAGTTACAAGATTAAGTAGTTGTTTTTACTGAGGATCCTCAGAATCTTTCATCAGGTACTGCTCCTTTGACCCCATGAGAGGGGCGCCTAGTAGGAACATTTCCCAAATGAATTTTGTTTCAGAGACCCTTTCTCAGGAAGAACTTATTAACATCCCTCAGAATGTGGTTTTGGAAATGCAACACTGAGAATTACTGCTGTTATCTATGATCCCATATTATGTAGTGTAGTTGGCATCCTGAGCTTTATCTTTTTCACAGGTGAAGGATAATGATCCAGACAAAAACTCCCATCTCCCATTCAGAGTGGAAGCATCCCAGTCTTCCAGAGTTGTTCCTACAAAAGTCTTTCTCCCTGAGTCCTGTATATTCTGAGTGTATATACAGGAAATTCTAGAAAATCAGCTTAATGTCAATAAGAAGAGATTGTGATTATTCATCTTCTAAAGATAACTATAGTATTAATTGCATAACTTATTTTTAAATTTTTAAATTTTATATTGGAGTATAGTTGATTTACAATGTTGTGTTAGTTTCAGGTGTACAGCAAAGTGACTCAGATATATTAGGTTGGCCAAAAGGTTCGCTTGGATTTTTCCATAAGATGACTCTAGTAGTGCTTAATTATCTTTAACTCTATTCAGAGTAATTTTGTTAGATTGTACTGTGACAGCTGTCGTATCAGTGTACATTAAAAAATAACATAAAAATTGGTGAATTTTTGTGTAACCATTTTAATGTTGAAGTTAGAAGAAAAAAGCAACATTTTCGGTATATTATGCTTTATTATTTCAAGAAAGGTTAAAACACAACTGAAATGCAAAAAAATATTTGTGCAGTTAATGGAGAAGGTGCTGACTGATCGAAAGTGTCAAAAGTGGTTTACGAAGTTTTGTGCTGGAGATTTCTTGCTGGATGATGCTCCATTGTCAGGTAAACCAGTTGAAGTTGATAGTGATCAAATCGAGACATTAATTGAGAACAATCAATGTTATACCGCATGGAATATAGCTGACATACTCAAAATATCCAAATCAAGCACCGAAAATCATTTGCACCATCTTGGTTATGTTAATCGCTTTGATGTTTGGGTTCCACATAAGTTAAGTGAAAAAAACCTTCTTAACAGCATTTCTGCATGCAATTCTCTACTTAAACGTAATGAAAATGTTCTGTTTTTAAAACAAATTGTGGCAGGTGACGAAAAGTGGATACTGTTCAATAATGTGGAATGGAAGAGATTGTGGGACAAGTGAAATACACCACCACCAACCACACCAAAGGCCGGTCTTCATCCAAAGAAGGTAATGTTGTGTATATGGTGGGATTGGAAGCGAGTCCTCTATTATGAGCTCCTTCTGGAAAACCAAACAATTCATTCCATGTACTGCTCCCAATTAGAGCAACTGAAAGCGGCTCTTGACGAAAAGCATCCGGAATTAGCCAACAGAAAATGCATAATCTTCCATCAGGATAATGCAAGACTGTATGTTTCTTTGATGACCAGGCAAAAACTGTTACAGCTTGACTGGGAAGTTCTGATTCATCCGCCATATTCACCAGACATGCGCCTTCGGATTTCCATTTATTTCGGTCTTTACAAAATTCTCTTAATAGAAAAAATTTCAGTTCCCTGGAAGACTGTAAAGGGCACCTGGAACAGTTCTTTGTTCAAAAAGATAAAAAGCTTTGAGAAGATGCAATTATGAAGCTGTGTGAAAATGGCAGAAGGTAGTGGAACAAAAGGGTGAATACGTTGTTCAATAAAGTTCTTGGTGAAAATGAAAAATGTGTCTTTTATTTTGCTTAAAAACCAAAGGAACTTTTTAACCAACCCAAATACAAATAGATATATCTATTCTTTTTCAGATTCTTTTCCCAGATAGGTTATTACAGAATATTGAGTAGAGTTTCCTGTGCTATACAGTAGGCCTTCTTAATTATCTACTTCATATACAATAGTGTGTGTATATTAATCCCAAACTCTTAATTTATTCCTCACTCCCACCTTTCCCCTTTGGTAACCATAAGTTTGTTTTCTATGTCTGTGTATAACTTCTTAAAGTTGATATTTTAAAGGACATCTTCTAGAGAGGTATAAGATGTAAGCAACTTTTATTTCCAAGGTTACATAGCTAAGAAGCAACAGAATCAGTACTAAATCTGGTCCACACAGTTTACATCTCACCACAGGGCTTCTACATACTGTAGCGTAAAGAAAGAGAGGTCTGTCAACCCTAACAAGTAAATCCTTGAGGGGGGAAATCCCAGCAGGCTTATTTCACCTAATTGCCTTGGTAATTACTTCTCCCGTATGTTTCAACATCCACTTGCTTAAGTCACTAAACGGTTGTTCCCACAAAATGACTACCCTTCTCACTCACCAGGACCATAAGAAACAAATATGAGTATGGGCTGTGGAGTTAAGTGCCACCTCAATTTACTGTTTGACTATGGACTAGTTACTTAATCTCTTTGTGCTCTGTGCCTTGGTTTTCTCATCTGTAAAATGGATGCGATAATAGTGTATACCTCCTAGATTTTATATGGATTAAGTTACATAAAACTTAATAGCTTAGAACATGGCCTGTAACATAATAAATGCTCAGTGTAAGTTAGCCTTTGTCATTATCACTATCGTCAGCCCTATTCTAATAAAGGGATAGCCAAATGTCAAATAGTGACAGCTAGGAATTAAGATCCTCCACCTCACACTGTACTCTTATCCAAGTTAAATAAATTTGTTTCTTCAATCATTTGTCATATAGCAGGATTTGAGTCTTCTTCCTCTTTCTAGTTTGCCAGTAATCCTTTTAAAGGGAATGAATTAGATGTAGCCTAGCCAAAAGAGAGTAAAGCAGAACCAATATACTCCTTATTCTAGAGCCCACATTTCTAGAGGCTCAAGATAACAGCTTTCTTGGCAACCACATCACTCTGTATATAAGTGATCCTCAACAGAGAAGAAGTGAGGGAACACATCAGAATGTTGGTATGGCATGTGCAATCTGACTAAACATTCTCAGTATGGTAAATGTGAGGAATTAAAATATCTGTTGTACAAGCTATAGGCTATAAAGCTCATGAGAATCTTCCTGGCTGATGCTCTTCCTAGTGATGCTCTGACTCTCCAACCACACCCATACGTAGGTGCCTACTCCAGTTCTCTAGTTGTAACTAAAACCCGTCTTTTTTTCCCCCGCATGTGACTACTAGCTAGCTATCAAGAAGTTCAGAGAGATTAAAAAAAAACTGGAGATCTCCTGTCTCTGACCTTAATGATTTGACCACATACAGATTTCTGGTCAACCCATGTGAGATGGTAATGATATAATTCTAAGTCAACTTGTTGATAAGTTAAAATTTCAGTCAATCCAGCTGGTTCTTCTTTTGGGTCAACTAGTTGGATAATTTTTTTTTACCTGTATTAAATTAACTGAAGTTTTTAAGCCCTGGATTTACCTAACCTGCATATCCTATGTTTATTTGATCTAGGTTTGGTTTATTCACAGCCTGTGGAGAGTTTTGGACAATACTTAGGCTGTGGCATTTTAGGGTTAATTTCAACAGTGGCTTGGACTCACTAGCGTAAAAATAATAGAAAGTCAAGAGAAAATAAAGAGAAAAATAATTAAGGATTTTGATATGATGTCTCTCTCACAAGCCCAACAAATAGAGGAAATGGTTACAGAATTAGATAAGAATAACATTAGTTCCCATTTATTGGATGACTACCATGTGTGAGGTATGTTTTTTACATCATCTTACTTAATGTCCCATCATTTCTGTTAGGCAACTATTGTATTCCACATAACTGTCATTTTTTTGCTCAAAGTCTCAGAACTGGTAGTTTGCAGAGTTGGGGTTCATACCCATGTGTGTCTCCCTCTAAAGTCCTCATTTATGTTAATCTATCTCTCCTTTGTGATACAATAATTCACCTTTAAAGATTAAAATAAATAAACAGAGAATCACCAACTCATGAGCTATACAAAAATTGTTTTATTCAAGAATAATGCTGAGCAAAGTTAATTATTTTGTTTTTTTGATAGAATTACAAGATTAATGCCTAGGGAGACAGTGGCTACAATATGTCTTTATATGAAAATGGTGCTTCCTTTCATTTGTCATGTAATGTAATTCTTCCAATTGATCTAAATTGGCTTTTTTAGCTTCTTCAGGAAGCTCTTATTATTGACAGAATGAAAATCCAATTGCCTTAAGTGTCTTTTTCAGGAAGCCAACTCTAGACTATGTGAGCTGTCCTCTGGGCAGGACTCTTGGTCTCTGTTGGCACCAGGGTAGGGGGAGAGAATGACCCTGCACAGCCTATGGTCCAGTCCATCCCACGCCTTCCTCACATGCTCATTCCTGAGGCCCCAAATCTCCACCCTCTCCTCCTTTCTGTGTACTCAGCTCATACTGGGTTCAAGTTTCTTTTTCTTGATAAAGCCTTGCTCAGAAATAACCCACCCAAATTGTTCCACGTTGAGTTTCTTTTTTCCAAATTATTCAAGCATGTATTGCTGGAATCATTCATCTTGGCATTTAGTCATTTGCTAACTTCTATTATTGTCCTTAAGGTCAAAAATCTTGACTCTACAATAAAACGTATAGTGTCATAAGGGTGAGAAGATTTCCGAACAACTTGGAGCTTGAAGAAACACTAGTCCAATAACACAAGTTCCTGACTTGACTTGAATTCCTACCTATTAATAAACAAGTCAGGACCTGGTCTTATAGAGGCTCTGAGAGTCTGAGAAAAGCTATGCCTCCTTTATTAGCTAAAATATGGTGGATGGGTATAGGCAAAGCACCCAGGGTACTCCTTTAGTCCTTTCTGAAGCCCCTCTAGCACCCCAAGTAGACACAGAGTTTCAACTCAGTCCATGCCTGTCCTCTGCCTCAGCTTTTCCCAAGGCTCTGGCTTAGGAGCAGTCTATTCCATTTCTACCAGAACCACAGTTCAGAATCCAGCAGCTTCTCAGCCTTAGAAGCCTCCACCAGGGGAATGGCCAGAATACTTCCAGAGCTCTTGTAGTAAAAGGATATGTCCTCTGAAAGAAATAGAGCAGCACAATTTCCATCATGCTGCGGTGAGGAAACAAGTGTAAGCACTGTTGAGCCACTGCCAGGGACAGGTATGTTACCCATCTTTAACTCAGTGAGACAAAGTGTGGCTGAGGCATGCTTAGCAGGGGGCTGTCATTTTTCAGGGCTTCTGAAGCATGCCTTTTTCCTCCCTTCTCATCACTGGAATCGTGGTAACTTTCTCCTGCAAAGGGCGGGCTATCTTGAATTCTGGGGAGCAGCTAGCAGGAAATTGGTGTAATTAGGTGTTATTTCATAGAGGACTGTGCAAACCATAGCATGCCATTTTGGGGATTAGCTTTGCAATGTCTTGGAAAATAATGAGTGAAAAAAAAATACTGTGGTATAGTAGACACCCCTTGCTTTGATTGCAACTTCTGACATGAAGCAGTTGCATGACCTTGGCCAACTTATCTGCCTTGTCTGAGAAGGAATCCTATCCATTCCTGCATATGCAGTGATATAGAAATCAGTAAGGAATACTTCCAGGTCCTCTGAACCAGTTTTCACGGGGCTCATTATTTGGCTTCTCAAAGTGCCAGATGCCCAGTAGCTGTCCAACCGAGAGTTGTTGCTTGATTGACTGATTGATTTTGTGGGTTTTAAACTGATTGGAATCCTATAAACAGCAGGCACCCCTTTCCTCAAAGTAAGTCTGAAAAGTACCTGTAGAGTTTGGAAGTATCTCATGGCCTGCAACAAATAACGGAGTGAGCATGGCTGGAACGAGAACAGAATTGGGGGTCCTGGGTTCTTGGGGATCCTCCCAGTTGGAGAAGCAGGCCTCTGGTCCACAAGGAGGACGGGCTGAGTTGTTGAGAGAGTCCTCCTTCCTCCCCTTCAGGCATGTTTGGAATCCATTTCCAACTCACTCCGATCACAGAAACAGACTGGAAAGAACCAAATGAAATGAGATAATCAAATCCATCCCACGCCAACAAAGGAGGCCATCCAAAATGAAAGAACAAATAAAATAAAAACCTCTGGCAAAGCTCAGATAAAAGGGACTGCAATTCAAAAGGGAGCTAAAATTACTTTTAATAGATCTTGGTAGAACTGCTGAGAGACCTCAATCTCTCAACTCTCTGTATTATTTATTGATTGAGCTGGCATCCTCACTGAATCATGAGTGCTTTAGAGAATTACTCCAGCTTTGGGTTACAGATTGAAGCCCAGGAAAGAGAAGCCTTTGCTCAGGAGCTATTTCTTCTTCAGCTATGTGTTTTTTTTTGTTTTTTTCCCATGCCTCAATTTCCTCATCTGGGAAATGGGGAGATGCATGCAAGCATTTGTCACCTCTCTTTTTCTCAGAACTACCTTGACTCAGCAGCCATTGCGCAGTGATAAGACTTTTCACCTCTCAGATTTAATTATGAATTTCTCCAAATAACACTTACCTCAATATCTTTTACTTGTAGTTCATAAGTCAATTAACC